TCAGTCCGAAACTTGGCTTCAATCGGAAAAGAAAATTCTCTAACTTTGTACCGTTGGCTTTGGACTAGAACCCTTTCATCCTACAGCGCTCTCATCGCTTAGGCGGTTTTTGTACCGGTAAAAATAGACCGGTTATTGTGAAGGTTCTTCGGTTTAAAGTAACAATGCTGTTTTAGCGTTGAGAGTTAAGCTAAAGGACTCGCAATTCGCTATTAGAGAAGACTTTTCGCCTTCTGTCGATTAGCTTAGGGCAAAGTGTTTCATTTCATGCTCACCTCATCACCGTTACACAAACTGTTTCAGTTCTATTTGCCTAAAACTTTTCATTTAAAATTCTATTCAACAAAATTAGAATGCTTAATAAATGTTCCGTATGTGACGCCGCTTCCGAGAGTGTAAAGAAATCGCCCGCGTAGCAACAATCGATCGCAAACCGCTCTCGCAATGTTTTATGCTTCATAAAGCGCAACGTGGAAACAATTTTATGTTATCCCGTTTCTTGCACTAATATTCGCAGTCTCATTAAAAAAAAAGGCATGTGCAGCTTTATAGAAGATAGTGACGTTTGAGTACTGACCGAAACTTGGTTGCAATCTGATATTCATGATGACGAGCTCGGTTCCGATCATGCATTCTCAGAAAAAAGGGTCAGCATAGTCCTCCATAAATGGAGGAACGAGTCTGACACATATGTTCCTTCAGAAATGTAGCAACTTTGCCGCCTTCAACAAGGGAGGAAAGTTGCTCCTCCGTCGAATTGGAGGCGCATTTCAAAGTGGCGGCTCCAAATCGAGCGCCTATTGTAGGTCCTTCCGGCACGCTATCGACGATCCACCAGGTCCACCGCAACGCAAAGTGTTCCGATAGTCACCGGACAGGCAAATGCCTCCCGCCCACTGGGGGTCTGCCACTGCTTGGTCGGCAACACTCGACATGGGCACGATGAGCACCGAGTCACCACAGGACAAGAGCTTTGCACGTCGTATATTTATTGGCAAATCCGGCTGCCCGTGCAGATGAGGAAATCCGCGCCCCGAATCATTATTCGCGTCGCGAACAACAAAAAAAAAACAAAAAAAAAAACAAGAACACAGATTTGCCGAAACGCATCGCCACAATGGTCAGTCAATTTCGCGTCACTTACCCGTGCTCGTTCTCATGTCGCGATTACTCCGTCGCCAATCCCACACAACGGATAGGAGCTCTAGGACCGATCGTAATCCCACGCAACCGATACGGTGCGCCGAAGGATTCTTTACAACTCGCAAAAAGTATGCTACCGGCTGATACGAACCTCGGGTACCTCACAAGGTCAATTCATATAGGTCGCGAAAGTGGAGCAAAAAAGCGGCCCAAAACCAATCGTCAGCGTCATCACCCTGGAGGCCGCGCTACCGCAGCGTGACTATGTTTTGCGCGGCCAAACACTAAGCTGATAAAATATTAAAGACACACTTTCGGTGTCTTATATAGTTGACTTTAAATCAAAGTATTATTTATTAATAATAACTTAATTTAGACATGTTTAGAGTGGTGAATTTTTCAGGTTATGTTCAATATGTATTATGTTGTGCATACTTGTTCCGACATCTACAACGTCGCTATTTTTCGCCGCCGGCAGAAGTTCGCAGTCCCGATACGCCTCGTGTTTGCATTGTTTGCGTTCGCCAGTGTGCCTACATTTCTGTAGATCCCGTCGAACTTTCCCTTTGCAATCGCTTAAAACGACTTCGTGGTCTTATGTTTTCCCACGAACGGTTTGCACTAGTTGAATCCTATTGCGCCGTTCTGTGGCTTTTGTCGTCCAGTGCCCGACGGGCGCGTTCGAGGCTCTGTCGTCGCGACGATGCGCCGGCCCCATGTAAAGAGGCGCTGCGCGGTAGCGCGATGCCCAAGTGATGACTGCACCGCTGGCATCACACTCAATCGTTTTCCTGTAGACGCTGCAAGGTGAAGCTTGTAGCAGCTGTGTCCGCTGCTACTATGTGTGATGTTCTGATGTCCGTTCTCCGGTGATGTCTGGTAAGCTCTTGACCTCTTCTATGGGCCCTCATGCATGCTCATTTAGTAATAGGCACCCGTTGATCGAGCTTTTTCGGGCCCAGTCTCCGTTCCAAGCTTCGCGAGAAGAAACTAATCTTAGATATTAGTGGCGGCTTTGCTTGGTCTCTGCTGAACGGCTGCGTGACCCCAAAAACCTAATAAGAAACAATGACTGAACATTTCAGTTTTAACGAACTTTTATAATATGGTGTGAATAACACTAAAACGTCCTTTCTGCTTGAAACGTGTTTGGTGTCGTCCCTCTAACGTGCTGGCGACTATCAGGTCTACTTGCTGTGGATGTCGTGCTCAGGAATCTAGTAATGTAATCGTCTGCGTTGTGAACCTATCTAACCTCACGGGCACAGAGGTGTGCTCCGCGCTCATGGCGTTCGCTGGACCCAGACGGGAGACCAAGTACAATGATGTGACCAGTTTATCGCTAACATTATTGTGTAATCTTGTTTTTTTTTAATGTCCACTTTAGCCAAGGGTATGTAAAGTAATACACTGCTTCACATTCAGGCGGAGGGTCTGGGTTGAGCTCTGCCGGAACACAAGCCTACAGAACAAGACACCACAGCAGCTGCGGGAACGGGCGGTATGCTCCAGGCACTTCAAACCCTCTGCATTTCTTTACCGAAGAAGGCTGCGTCGTGATGCAATGCCAGCATATTTGAGCACTGAGGGTGAGCACGAAATATTGTTTTCATTATTACTGAGAAGGTAAGCTTATTCAGAAAGTATTTTACATGCAGATACAGGGAACTGTTTCAGTGTACATAACGTGTGTGCTTAACTTTGCATAGGTGCCGGAGATGCCGTCCAGAGCAGCAGCCCTGGCCAATTGATCAGCGAGGGTGAGCCCACACTGGCCAGCAGCAGTAGCACCGGTGGGCCCACATCATCACGGTGTTACACGCACCACACTACAGAAGAAGGTAAAAGCAATTGCATATTGGCGGAGAAGTGTTGCAGGCCTTGTTTCTTATATATGTCGGACTGTCGTGTGGTAGCCATCTTTGGGAAACATGTAAAACATGTATGACCATGTTTTTAATCTGTAGTCCGCTGCAACCTGAGAACGAAGGGCGAGGGTAAGACGGGTCGGGGAGGAGGAAGCAGACGGAACGTTAAAGAGAGGAGGTTTTCCTCTCTCTTCTCCATAGTACCGTCTGCTTCCTCCTCCCCGGCCCGTCCTACCCTCGCCCTTCGTTCTTAGGTTGCAACGGGCTACAGCTTGTCACATGTCGCAGGAATTTCCTGAAACAATACAATGACTGATGCTTTTGACAGATTTTTTAATTGCCTCGTCATTGCTTTGCAGATGTGGGGAGCAGTCTTACGGCTCTGACCTCTGGTACGAAGACTAGCCCTCCAACCAGAGTTCATGTTAAGTTTTCATAGTGTGCGTTGTTTAGGACAGTCTTTGAAGATTACTTTGTTGGGTAGTACTCGACCAGTCATAGGTGGTTCAACTTTTTGCAACCACTCTGTCACTTTGTTTCCTTTGTTTTGTTTCTTGTAGTGGATCACACATGCGCGATGGATGGACATGGCCCGCCGTCTGGAGGAAACGATGTGTGGGCGCCTGAACCTTCCCCTACCGATTATGATGCGTCGGTGTCTTCGACTTCTGCGGTTCCTCACCAACGTAGGTGTGCGTCATGATGCACAAAGTTTACTTGTACTTCCAGGTTTTATACAGTGGAGGCACATTGTTTATTTCATTATTTCTCGAAATGTTTCATTATTGCTTTTGCTTTCCCCTTGCAGGGTCCTGTGCCACCCGCACCGAGGGCAAGGGGAAGATGGACGTGTTGAGGGCCAGACTTCGACAGCGTCGGAAACATAACAAGAGACTCCAGCAACGACTGCAGCGACGGCGTCATATGCTGACTGTCACTGAGATAGTTGAAAGTGTAAATAGCCTTGTCTCTCCAGCCGTTGCTGCCCTTGTAGAAGCTCAGCTGAAGATGACCAATGCGAGCAGGTTTGGCAGGCGGTGGTGCAGAAGGAACAAAGCCATTGCCTTGGGCTTGTACTTTCTCAGCCCTAAGGGTTACCGGTACTGTAGGCAATTGTTAAGGCTCCCATCCGTTAGATCGTTACAGCTTTGGCTTCAGCGTGTTCCCCTGAGGGTTGGTTTTTACCCAGAAGGTTTCGAACTAGTCAAAAGACGTGCAGCTTCTTTTTCACCAGAAGACAAGCCATGCATTATTGCCTTTGACGAGATGCACGTCACGAAAGAGCTCTCGTACAAACCCTCTGTGGACAGGTTTGAAGGGCTCGAAGAAAGTAACACTGGAAGAGGCCATAGCCTTGCAAACAAAGCTCTTGTGTTTATGGCTAAAGGCATTCGCACGCCATGGAAGCAGCCACTTGGCTATTGTTTTGCTCATGGGGGAACACCTGCCAACATTTTGTGTGACCTTCTTTTCCAGTGCCACAATTTGCTTGTGAAAGCCGGCCTGGAGCCAGTAGCTGTCGTATGTGACCAAGGCAATCAAAATGTTGCTCGTTTTAATGGCCTTGTTACCCCTGAGAAGCCATGCGTAACTGTGATTGAGAAGCCACTTTTTTTTCTATTTGATGTTCCACATCTGCTGAAGTGCTTACGAAATATGTTCTTCAATTACAATTTTCAAGTTGGGGACCACACGTTGAGAAGCTCTTTCGTCGGGGAACCTCACGAAAAAGACAAACAGCTTGAAATCCGATCCATGCCAAGGCTCAGTGAGAAGAATTTTAATTGGACTTTTGCCTCCAAAATTTGAGTGAAACTAGCAGCGCAAATATTCAGTAATCACTGTGCTGCTGCAGTGTTTGCCATGGTAACTTTTCAGCAACTGCCAGTTGAAGCTATTTACACGGTCCGGTTTATTGAAAAAATGGATCGTCTTTTTGATAGCTTGAACAGCTCACAGAAACGCGGGAAGAGTGCATATGTGTCTGCAATGCATAAAGGCTGTATTCACAAGAAGTTTCTGAAAGAATGCCTTCATATGTTCGAAAGCCTTACCGTTCTTGGGTGCCCACGGCAGCCTGCTTGCATTCGCGGTTTCTCCTTGACCATTCGGTCTATTATGCTGATTTGTGAGCACCTGACATCTGAGTATGGTTTCAGATACCTTCTGACTCGCCATCTCAACCAAGATGCACTCGAAAACACATTCTCTGTAATAAGGTCAAAGTCTGGTGCGAACGCCAATTCCTCTTGCCGGCAGTTTCAGGCAGCCTTTAGGCATCTCCTAGTTAGCAACTTGTTTAAACTGTCTGACAAGAGCAACTGCGAAGAGGACATGGCAACTCTCTTAGCGGCTCTTCCGGTTGGTTTCTCAGCTCCCACAGCTTCACTTAGTCTAGGAAGCTCACTTCCACAATGTGCAGCTGACTTCACATCCTGTAGTTATCCCACTTCATTATCACTTAACAACATGGTTTACTTTGCTGGATGGCTTGTAACAAGGTTTGTTAAATATGATACATGTCAAACCGTGACTGAGCAATGTGAATCGCAAATCAAGAATGCCACTTTTTCTGATGACAGCCAAGTGTTGTTGTATTTGAGTGTGAAAGGAACGGCTGAAGAAGACTTTGGAAGACTCTCGGTCCCTTCACCTTGCTTTGTTTCTTTCGTTCAAGCTTGTAAGAAGGTTTTTGTGGCGTCAATTGGCAGTCTTGTTTTGAAAGAAGGCGTTGGGAAGGCGTTGTGCATCACTCTTCATGAGAAGGTCGAAAAGCTGCTGACACTCTGCTGTAAGGATGTCTAAGGTGATTTATTTGCTTTGTTTGCAAGGGTGAGGCTTCACTGGTTCGCCCGTAAAAATAATACTTAGCTCCTTGATGCAGCTGTGAGACGCAAAACCCAGCAACGAGTCCAGAGGCTGTGCGGATGAGACAACACTTGCGTTATGCCCACAGGAAGTCCCTTTAGTTTGTCTTACGTGTTGCATTCAACAATCGCGCTGGCATACCGGATTGTGCGAGTACATACCTCTAAATCATCACACGCTTTGCTGAAACTGTCTACTGCGATGACCAAATGAATCTAGCATACTTTAAATAAACTGTAAAAGTTTGTTTCGCATGCTCAGACACTGCAATCAACGTATAGGTTCAGCTAGATGAACTTGAATTTTCAATGAATCAATATCAAAATTTCAGTGTCACAGCATGCAAAACTTTTTTTTCGTTCTAAGTAAAATATGTTAGATTCATTCGACCCTCGCTGTATAGTGCTAGATGACGTTGCTCACTGAATGATGGGACAGGGTTTCTACCAAATCACTTATTCCAAATTTCCCAATTTTTCCAAGGTTTTCCTCTCTATTTCGATGAAATGTTTACCGTTACTTCGGTTCAGGGAGTGCCTAGTGGCCTGTGCTGCCTAGTGACGTGTCGGGCAACGTTATTCAGTGCAGCGGCACGACCGTGAAATCCTTGTGCAATCATCGGGCTTCGTTGCACGCTGCCGTTCCACTTTCGCTCATCATTTTTACTGATTAGGAACTTTTTACGGTTTCCTTTATATTACCCTGTTTTTTAAATATAATCCCCCTTACTTAAATATTTTAAATTTTCCAGATTGGTAGACACCCTACACACCCTGTGCAGTATTGAGGAGTGTGTGGGAACAAGCCTTGACCTCGATGTTTTCGTTTGCAGTGTGACGACTTGAGACAGAAACCTGGATTAATGTTTGGTTGTGTGAGGTATACAAAAGTATATCAAACTGCCATGAAAGGGAAATCAGTGAGTCAGTATTGTGCTAAGAATTTGCCACAAAGCGGATTATTATCCTTTTTCTAATTCTTTCTTTCCTGTCATTTTGTGGCAGTTTCCTGTGTACTAATCCTCACATAAACAGCCAAGCTGTGGAGCACAATATGTGTGTGACGAGCGCATGTGCTATAACGAAACGTCTCAATTTTCAATCTCTTGAAGCATTAATTCATGTGGACATTCAAATGCAAACGACATGCATAGCCCCGCACCTCCACCTGTGATTGATATAGTTAAATCTAGTTACGAGCTCTCAACGTGAACAGTGCAAGATAAATGCGTAAAGAGTATTAAGTGCGCGCATAGAGTTGTCCAGACCTTATTTCACTTCGTTTTTAACGCCATATCTATCTTCAAGTGTTCAGTGGTGGTGTTGTAAGTTTGTATATAATAAACTGTGTAAACCAAGCTTGTGCCTTTTTGTCTTTCTTGACGAACAAGCCGTTGTTACAATGATAAGTACGCCTTCATAGGCGTGCTGTAACACACTGCTTAGTTGAAGAAGATAGTAACTTATTGGTGGTTCCCAGAACTGATAAAAAACTGGTTCTTTTAAAAGAGGGATTACATGGGAGTGATTGATACAAACAAGGCTATTAGGCGTGAAGCAAGGTTTGAAGGACGGTAGCAAGCATGTAGAACATCTGAAAAACTTTAAATTTCGCGCCACCGGCGAAAATCATTTAAATTTCGCGCCGAAAACAATCGTGACGTCACAATCTTGAGGAAAATGCGTCATATCGTGTTTTTTTGTTCCTTTTTAATAAAGCGTCACTTCCTGTACGTCACGGGCGAGCATGACTAATGACAATGCCGCGCAACTAACAGATGGCGCTGCGCCCCATGAGCCGCCATCTTTGCGCCTATGGGCTTCTATGGAAGCTTCGCTACCATCTATACATATACCTTGTACCTCAGGCGAAAGAAAATACGAAGACAGTTGCACCGTCGACGGCCAGATGGCGCACTCAAGCAAACTCCAAAAGCACTGGATATATAAATATTATCCAGCGTTTAAAGCAAACTGCTCCAGGTGGCGCTGTTACCGTCCAATTCAATATTTTTAAGAAAAACAATGCCTTACTCAAGTGATACCCAAATACACTTCCACGCTCCCCACTGCTTCGCACTGGAACTCTCATCGTACATACACATTACGCACACAATGCACTGAACAACATGGGCACATACATGGCAACGTTATAACAGCGCATACATATATAACACCGAACACAACCCCTCATCACTGACCCCAAAGGTTGCACCAGTGTTATATATACCGTGCAAATTTAAGGCACCTCTTTCCGCAATGACTGCCCAAGAAGGAATAATATTGCAAAAACCTTACTGCTCTTGCACCAAAATCTGCCGATAAGAATGTTTTTAAATGTTCGAAGGCATATATCTCCAAGTAGAATGTAATCTTAAACAGGGTAATTATTTGGTGTAGTCAATAAAACAACCCCAGCCGCCGGCACAAAAAAAAAAAGAAAAGAATATGCGTCTATGGGCGGGCGCTGGTGCGCGCTGATGTGTCCGCTTCCCCGCGTAGCAGCTCCGACCGCCCAGATATGCGTCCAGAAAGTTCAGAACGACGCGAGTTCGGGGCTTCTGATTATGGCATTTCTGAAGGAATATTGAGGTAAGGATGCTGGAGGCAGAGGTATTCGAAATGTGCCTTTAGGTTTTCATAATGCTTCTGGGAGCTAGCGAAAACCCAAAAAAGGCAGCGAACCCCAGCTCAAGGTCTGCTGCACTGCGTGACAGTCCTGGCAGCCTGGCATCCTCCAGCTACGGCTCTTGCACTACATTTATAATTGCCCGGTATATATTCCTGTGTCGATTTAGGGTTGAGGGTCAGGCGGTTTGACCTTCCCTTTTAAACTCTGCTTGTGCAACCTTTCAAAAGTACCAAAGCCTGGTCGCAATGCAAGAAGGAACAGTCAGGATGTAGTCATGCAGTGCTACAGTTTAGTGTCTTAGTTTTGTCTTGTTTACCCAGCAGGGTGTTCATGTTTACACTCAGTACACAACTGGGTACTTCCCAAAACATCTTATGCTAAGTCAATCTTAACTTATCACCCCGTCTCAATCGCATCAATCCTCTGTAGAACATTGGAACTTCTCCTTAACCGTGCTATATTAAAGACCCCTGCAACAACTTTTTGACTTGTTTTTAACCTGCACCGAACCTGAGCGCACTGAACGTAGTAACTTAATGAAACTTTTCTCAAATTCCGCTTTCTTTTAAAAGTTATAGGCAAATTAAAATTACAAAAACAACCAAAAATAACCTCCTTCATGACGTCCTTGGTCGCTTGAGTGGCCGTGAAATAGAGGAGAGGTAGTGAGCTCAGCGAGTACTCATGGATGCCGCACTCCGAGCCGACGGCTCGAGAGGGCGCTGCTAAAGCATGTTCTGGATAGGCTGTATGAAGCGGGCAGCCAGGGCGGCTCGCATTGCATTTGCTGTGCGATTAAACACTGATTCGGCATGCCACTTCATTGGCCACAAACGACAGCAAACACAGGGTAAATATCAGTTCAGAACGGGAGCCACTTCGCGCTGCCATACTGCCAAAAGCCCAAATCGCAAGCCAAACCTACGCCGAAGGCCTTCGGAACGCTCGGAACCGGTCGGATACTCGCACCGGTATACCACCGCAGTGCCGCCCCATACATCCGGGACCTTTCTACGCTCGCCGCTCGTCGGTGCCTGATCCCATGCACCACCCCTTTCTAGTATGCGCCGCCTTTTTTACCGCTTGGTGGCGGGTATGTCGACGGGTCATTTCTTGTTTACGTACTTTATAAACTGCATTTGTTTCTTTTTTGATATAAAATACTGAACAAAAAGTACTTTCATAAACAATTGAACGGTTCGCGCCACTCATAATTTGTATTTCAACTAAAAAAAAAAGCTTTTCGTGGCTCTGAGCAGTAATTAGGCCAGGACCAAAGACCTCACATATCGCGCGCTTTCAGCACCGCGGGTCGCCCCCGTAGGTGGAGGAGGTTTCCGCGTCGTCCGGTTAAAATATGACGCACTGATATTTAGTTACTCTCTCCGTGCCCGCTGGCTTGCCCAAACCCCAAGAGACGCTTAAATATGATTGCAGGGCCCCTTAACTTTTTTGGAAGAGAACGACATACTCTTGCAGTCCCAGCACGACTTCCAGCCAATTCGCAGCTATAAGAGACTGCCCTTGCCACGGTTATGCATTACATCAGTTGCAGTATTGATGTCCTGTGGCGTATACAGTGCGCCACCAATCATCATCATGATGTTTTTAGAAGAACGCGTGACTGAGGCCGAACGAACATATGTGTCTCGTGGTGTTGGCCGGGTCCCATGATGTATTATTATGTATTCTCCTTTCTTGAATATTTTCTATTTTATTAAACATAGTTTCTCATCTTTTAACAATTCAGAAATGGGATCAGCTGCTCCTCATTCATACCTAACGGTGAGTGAGCGAGACTTTGCGGTTCGTCAAATCAGTGATGCGAGGCCTGACATCGGAACCAGATCCAGTTATTGCGACAAGGCGAGTTGACCTCACTTTGATACCCGAGATCTTACTGACTGTGATCTGTGACCATGCAGTGGGAAAGAAAAAAAAAATTGACTCAACCGGCGAGGTTAATGCAGGCTTAATAAATATGATATGGCACGAGTGCTACGACGAAATCGAGATCTTGAGCACCTGTCATTGACACAGTTGAGTCGACCGGCGTCTTCGGATATCTCCATGCGGGTAACTCCGTATGCGTTAACTGCGATTCCCAAGTTCACCGCAAGTGATGGTGACATCGCGGCAAAACGAGTGGATTATCGAGTTTATCCACATCACTGAGTTAGCAAGTTGAGACGAAGGGAAAAACGATAACCGGGGCCAAATTGAAGCTATCAGGACCGGTGCGTCACTCGCTGCAATCCTCGAGCGAAGCTTGCAAGACGGCCGTCCTGGGAAGACGCTTTTCGGGA